ACGTAAAACGAATCTCCTTTCGTTAAGTAACATACAAGGAGGATTCAATTGGTTCACATGGATATTGTGGAGACGGCATGCTAAGATTCCTCATTTGATTCAACGTCTTCTCCAAAGGTTCCGGCTTTCACAAAGGTAAAATTCCGAAACACACAATTTACCCCCATTTCATATGGATTTGTGAAACTTGAAAGTCACGGTTTTTGTTTTCAACTGCATATACGACTTTCTTAACATAACAATATCTATTCACAACAGAAAGACAATAACAAACGATGCTGATCATACAACGAAGCTGGAAGATAAATGAAACAGATAAGAAAAGACTACACAATGTTCATCACACGAGGTGCACATAGTTAGCTTCGATTACTCTGAGTTTATGGCGTCATACACATAGACTAGAAGAGAACAAGTTATTGATTTTCGATAATAAGTAGTAAAAGCAGATTTTGATGGGCTAAAATTATAATTTAGTAAATAGTATGAGGACCAAATTTGTAATTTACTCTTAATTGTTTGACCAATGGGAAGGAATGAAAATAGGTAGGTGTTGTTGGTGGTTGGTTAATGTGAATAATTTATAGAAAGTAACTTATAGCTTATATGTATATATATAATATTTCCACTAATTGAGAAATAATATAATAATTATGAGCAACCATTCTTGTTTTAATAAATAAATAAATAAATAAATATTTATATTGTTTTAAATTTGTAATTTGAATGAAATAAAGTATTTTATTTTACCAAAACACCTTTCGTCTAGCGGTATCGTAGTCTTTGGCCTCCTAGAATATCAGGAGTTTAAATCGCACCAAAGGTGAGAAGGGTTTGTGAATTTATTTGTTGCATTTGTCGTATATAAATATTATATACTTTAAAAAGAAGGTATTTTATTTTAATATTTTTTTTAAATGTATTATGTTTTTTATGTAACTAGAAGGGTATTCGCGCAATGCAGCGAGATACATCTTGATTTTAATATTTCATTTGATTCTTTATCAGTCGATGTTATGTGATTTTGAAAAAACGATAATGTTTTTATTTTTGAATAAAATATAAATTTGAATATATCATAAAAATTTGACAAGAATATATCGATATTAATATCAAATTAACTATTTAAAATTTCTAATTTTTGTGTAATTTTTTAATTCAATTTTTTTATTATAATTTAATTTAAGTTTAATAATGAAGTAATTTATATTTGGTTTAATAATATAATTTTCTTATAAAGATAATAATTAATTATTTTGTTAGAACTCAATAATTATCTTAATTATATTTTTGATTTTTTAGAATTTAAAATGAAATGTTTATTCTTTAATTGGTTATGTTTATCCGCAGTTAGTTACGCAAATTCAAAACAGGAAGCTTTAATAAGTTGTACTTATGCATAATTTACTTGTAATCTTGAATTTTAAGTAATATGCATTAATATACAATACTTCATGCATAAAAAATGATTTTTAAGAGTTTTTGTCAAATGCTTTATAATATAATACAAATTATTACTGCAATATATAAGAAATCAATAACGTTATTAGTATGTGCCAAGTCAAATTTGTATTTTATTTAAAATCATAATGATATTAACATAGATGAAAGTCAACTGATTCAAGTAAAATCCAGAGTTTGTATATCAGATGTAATAACAGTAATAGACACAATAAAATAATGATAATAACGTCGAAGATGATGGTTTGTTGAAGTATTATTTAACACTGATGAAACTATCACCGTGTATAGAATGATGTAAAAATATTATTTGACTTTATATTTCAGATCGTCACAAAAATGTAACAATTAAACTTTTACTCGATTTATAACGTTATTTATGTGTTAAGTTCTCACCACATTCTACATTTTGTTGCAAATCATTCGATCTGAAGACAAATTGACGGAAAACAACACCAGTTCCGGTGGCATTGAGATGGAAAACAACAACAAAAAACCAGCGAGTTTTAGACATAATACAACACCGACGACTGTAATCTAGATAGTGATTCACAGGGACGCTTACAGAAACTTGTTCTTAGACGCCTTCCTTTTCTTTAACACCCTCCTCATACATGGTTAGTGTTCACAATGTGAAACGCACCTATCAATATCACAACTGGTAACGTTTCACCTTTTAATATGACGTTATTAATGCTTCATAATATCCACATCCTAAGCATCATTCAAGTTATCAAGAGCGCACATGTACATCCCTCATTTAACTCGTGTACCATCCTAATTGATCTGGGTTCAAAATGCATACATCCCTCATGATCACAACATGTAACTCGTGTTCAATACCTCCCTTGTCCACCACTGATACGCGATTCAGGATTTTAGATTCAAAAGAACATCAAATTATGGTATATGTTTTAAATGATTCCATTTGATATTTTTGAATGAATTTTAAAAAGAGAGATATAGAGAGTAGTGAGATCGAATTTTTGGAAAGAGAATCACTTTTTATGGACAGAGATAGTAGCAAATTTTGTGAAGATAATATGTCCATTACCGAACAACCTTTCTACCCACATAATTTCGAATATAACACTAAGATATTCCATTGTTTATAAATAATGTCATTATTAAATACTGTAAAAGGTTAAGATCAGATCTCACGTTTATCACAAAATGGCAAATTCTTCCATGATCAGTCTCCTCCTCCTATATCTGTATTGGTATCAAATCAGTAATGAACAACATGACATATGATCTCGTTTCATTCTGACTTTAGATCTAGAAAATCAACATCATCTCCTGTCCTATTACCCACCAAACAGGGAATCCTCGTTTCATCAGGGACAAGTCTCCACAATGTCCCATTCCCACGAGTCAAATTTCCATATCTACTTGTAAATCATAAGAATCATTTTATCTAAATATCTTTTCGATAAAAAATATTAAAAAAATATCATTATAAATAATCCTCTGTCTCATAGTTATTTAAAAGCTTCCTTTATTAATTTTTTCTCACACACATCAAATAATATTTTACGTTACTATTTAAACCCATATTATTAAAATATAAATTTTTTATTATACACATTGAATCGTATTTTATCGGCCCCAAACTAAGTGTTTATATCTATATTTTAGTTTAAATGTGTACTTCCCATTCTCTCCCTAATTATCAGATGGAGAATTTTTTCTCTCTCTTTATTATCAAGGATAAAAGTGTCATAAGTTAATTAGAGAATAAAAAGTTATAATCTCTAAAAAAATCTCTAACAGATTATTTAAAATGGAGAATATCAAAAGTCAAAATCTTCAAATAAAATTTATATTTATTTTCAATAGTTTTTTTTATCTGGAGATTAAAATATGAATTATATTATTAGAATATTCAACACTAACAAATTTTCTATTTTAAAGATATCAACATTAATTATATTATTAAAAACATTATATTTATACTATATTATAAAACATTTGACAAAAACTCTTAAAACCCATTTTATATGCATACATGTTACTTAAAATTCAAGATTACAAGTAATTTTGTGTAAGTACAACTTATTAAAGCTCCGTTTTTAAATTTGTGTAACTAACTGCAAATAAACATAATCAAATATAAGATAAACATCCATTTTAAATATAGAAAATATAAAATTAAATTAAGATAATCATTAAATTATAACAAAATGTTTAATTATTATCTTTACAAAAAATTATATCATTAAACCAAAAATAAATTACTTTGTTATTAAATATAAATGATAATAAAAAATTTAATTAAAGAGGTTACATAAAAAAACGAAAACTATTAAATTGTTAATTTGATACTAATATCGATTTATTTATTTTTCAAATTTACATTTCATTCAAAAGTAAAAACATTACCGCTTTATCAAAATCACATAAAATCGTATTATATCAATAGAGACAAAGAATAAAAACTAAACATTAAAATCGAAATTTATCTTGCTGAATTGCGCAAATACCCTTCTAGTTATTTTATAATTCTAATACACATCTTAAAAACAATTAATATAAAATAATAACAGTTTAATCTTATCCATAAAAAAAAAAAAATCCATTCTCTAAATAAAAAAACAACCATTATTTTCTTATTTTTCTCATCTGTTAAAGATGCTCTGGAAGGTTTTTATTTTTCAATTTAATTATATTATCTTAAAACTATTTATATATAAATAATAATAATTACTGAAAATAATAAAAGAAATTCATTCTCTCTATTGTTTAAAAACAACTAGAAGAATATTCGCATAATGTAACGATATATATATATATATATATATATATCTCAATTTTAGTATTCCGTTTTATTCTGTCTCTATAAATGTTTTAACACGGTTTTTATGTGGTTTTGAGAAATGGATAATAATTTTATTTTTGAATAAAATATAAACTTGAAGATATCATAAAAATTTGAAAATAAATATATCAATATTAATATCAAATTAATTATTTAAATATTTTTGTTTTTATGTAATTTATTTAATTCAATTTTTTATTATAATTTAATTTAGATTTAATAACGAAATAATTTATTTTTGATTGAATAATTTTTTTAGAAGATAATAATTAAGTAATCTATTAGAATTATTTTAGATTTTTTATATTTAAACTGAAATGTTTATCTGAAGTTAGTTACACAAATTCAAACATGAAGCTTTAATAAGTTGTACTTACGTACAATTTATTTGTAATCTTGAATTTCAAGTAATATGCATTAATAAACAATAATATTTCATGTATAAAAATGGTTTTTAATAATTTTTATCAAATGCTTTATAACACAGTATAGATATAAAAAATCATCGGTATTTTAATTTTTTAATAAAAAAAAAGAAATGCAAATAAATGGTGTTGGTAAAAGAGGTGCCTTACATTGACGTTTTTATTAGATTTGAAGAAAAAATTGGAGAGACGCACAACAAAAATCCACAATCTCTCTTTCTCTATAAATAAAAACCTTACGTTAAAATGCTCTCTTTTTTCTTCTTTCCCCTTTCTTTTCTCTGCTTTGTCTTCTCCACGACTAACCTTTCCCGGCAATCTCCTCCGCCGGTTTTTCACCCTCCATCCACCGGAAAATCCCATTCTCCGGCATTTCCTATCTTCAAGGTTTTCACTTTCTCTCTTACCTTTTTTTTTTTGTATTATAGATATTGTCTTAGTTTTCATTTTGAAGTAAGCTTTCAGATCTCTTGCATATCTCTCACTACTCGTTTCTCTTACATGTTGTTTTTTGTATGAATATTTCTTCGGGTGAATATTTCTTCGGTATATTGTTTGCTGTTGCACATGTATTTTGGATCTTGGAAATATCGTTGAATGGTTTAAGAATACCAATGCAGATTCAATGATGTTTTTAGAGTTCTTTGCAATTTCAGATTTGGTGGTTTTGTTATCAAGTGTTTTGTCTTGCTCTTAGGACGGATTAAAGTTCTGAATTTGGTTAGCTTTTCATTTTGGATGGTTCAACATTGAGAGTAGCACTTGTAGTTTTGTGGCTTCTTATTTTGAACTTCTAATAGAAAAATGAACTATAATTCTACGTTTTCTTTTTCTTTTTCTTCATAATTTCATGCCACAGTCATCTGCTTGAGCTAGCCAGAGGAATGTGCTTCGAGATGCCTTTTCCCATAGAATTTCACATAAAAGCTCAGTTTTTCTCTAGACGGAAGATCAAAATGTGATCTTCTGAGATGTCTAGTGAGAAAATGAATCTAATTGTACCAACACGACATTAATATCAACTGGGTGCTGATGTAAGAATCACAGTGATTAAAGATTTCCTTGATATTTGGGCTTCAAGCATAAAGGTTATTTATTTTGGGACAAAGGAAGTAATAATTATTGGATTACATTCATTAAAATTAACCCTGGATAACTTGATGCATGTTTATATCTTAACATGTCAGATTACATACGGATAAGATTGATTATATTAGCAGTTAAAGTGTCCTTGTCATTGTTGTTTGTTTATTTACTTTCTGTAGATGAATACAAGCGGAGAGGACTACTAATTTTGTCTCTTATATTCAATATTAAATAGTTAAAGCTTGTACTTTAACCTTCATAGATTTGCATCATGATGCAGGTTATCGTTTGGTGGAGGAGTTGAGTATCATGGATGCCCCTAAAGAGTCTGGACTCCGTAATGTTAGCTCAGTTTGCTCCATTCCTGAAATGGATGACTTTGAACTGACAAAGCTTCTGGATAGGCCGAGGCTTACCATTAAAAGAGAGAGATCATTCGACGAGAGGTCACTTAGTGAGATGTCTTTATCAAGGGGTCTTGAGAATTTGGATCTTGGATATTCACCAGGAGGACGCTCTGGATTAGATACCCCGGCTTCATCGACCCGAAACTCCTTCGAGCCCCATCCGATGGTTGCTGAAGCCTGGGAATCTCTTCGTAGATCATTGGTGCATTTCAGGGGCCAACCGGTTGGCACCATTGCTGCATATGATCATGCATCTGAGGAAGTTCTAAACTATGATCAAGTAAAAAGCTTGTACTCCTTAATGATAACTTATTTGAGATTCCCATTCACCGAGTTTGATAACTTATCTTACCAAAAGCTAGATACTTAGGGGGTGTTTGGTTAGAGGTATTAAGCAGTAATTAACGGGAATGAAAATAAAAGAAACTATTTGTTTTTATATGATATAATGGGTCCATTAGCCAGAAGCCCAAATTTTCATTCCTGGTTAAAGGGGAGAATGAAAGTTCATTCCCATTTTCGTTCCTGTCATTTTCATTTTCATTCCCCTTACATTTACATTTTCATTCCTCCGCCTCCTTTCAAAAGACTAAGCAAGAAAAAGGGACGGAATGAAAAAAAAACCATTCCAAAATGTATCTTGAACATGTCCATCATGAACCATGAAGACAACTAAAGGAAGATACAAGACTCCAGAAAATAAAAGCCCCGCCTGCAAGAAGGGAAAACTTCATCACATCAACTATACTCCGTTGACAACTCATGGCTATACAAGTCCCCTGTTGACAGTTGTTTCTGTTTAGGCTTCCCCTCACCTAAATATGTCAAGAATGCTGCAAGTTAAATTACTTGAATGTTTACAACTTCTCCTCTTGATGAAGATTCCATTTCTTACTCCAGATTCTAATTTTTTGGTTAAATGCATTTTACAATCTAGTAAGTGTTACTTAAAACATCAGGTGGAAATGAGCCTAATTTTCCTTTTTGCAGAAAAACAATTTTGAAATTGCATGTTCTTGTAGCTTCTTATCAACCTGAATGTCTTACTATATCATGTATGATCATTATCACTTATATAGTTTCCATCATCTTTTTCTGGATGATTTCCAGTTCATCAATGTAGTGTGAAGTCCTAGCTTTAATTCTTTTATGTGTTGTTATGGTGGATCCTTTGCCACATCATGAATATGTGATTGGTGCACATTCTTATTTATTATCTTTATGATATGTAGGTCTTTGTACGGGATTTCGTTCCTAGTGCCTTGGCTTTTCTAATGAATGGTGAGCCTGATATAGTGAAGAATTTCCTATTGAAGACACTTCAACTTCAAGGGTGGGAAAAAAGAATTGACAGATTCAAACTTGGGGAAGGGGCTATGCCTGCTAGTTTTAAAGTACTTCATGACCCAGAACGTAAAACAGATACAATCGTGGCAGATTTTGGTGAGAGTGCCATTGGTAGAGTTGCACCGGTTGATTCTGGGTTCTGGTGGATTATATTGCTCCGTGCATATACAAAGTCTACCGGAGATCTTACTCTAGCTGAAACACCAGACTGCCAAAAAGGGATGAGGCTTATATTAACCTTGTGCTTATCAGAGGGGTTTGATACATTTCCAACTCTGCTGTGTGCAGATGGGTGCTCAATGATTGACCGCAGAATGGTAAGAATATTTTCAGTTTCTCAACATGGTTCCAAATCTTGTTATTACCACGGCGTATTATATTGGGATTCCGCTTTCCTAAATCATATAGTCCTTCACATTTTATCTTTTCCGTATTACAATATTTAGGTCCTTTTCATATAAATTATTGCATTTACTTTCATGGTTATTTGGTTTTATTATACATAGTTGGTTAGCCACTAGAACTTTCTTAGTGCAATGATGATCCAGATGGATCGATTTTATTGGAAAAATTCAAACAAAGTGAAAATTACAAATGTTCTGATTGGTTAGATTTACTAGCAGCTTTATTTTATTAGTGTCTTATTTCTTTATATATTTATCTATTCATGTTCATGGGCCATCTGGTGCACTATATATTCAAGATTCTTTACATATAACAATAAAACATGCTTTTAACTCCAAAACATACATGGTTTTGATCATTGTCAAGTGTTGGTATTAGCCAACTAATTTTGCACTATTTCATAGTGCTCCATCTATTGGAAGACTACCTTAGTGATGTGAGCATCGTAAATGTTGAATGCCAGTTAGTAAATGCTTAAGTTTCAAAAAGGTAAAATAGTGGAATTTTCTTGTTCAAGCCATTCCAAATGGAAAAGCACACATATCCGTACTAGGAGTGTCAGTATTCTTTCTAATATAATTTGTTTATGCTCTGTGCCATGAAAATTGCAAAAATTGACTTGACAGAAAGAAGGGATGTCTTTAGTTGTTAATTAAATGTCTAAATGCTCTTCCATAACGAGTTATTGAGTTATAATGCAATCTTGTAGAACAAAAGCAGCAACAACAATACTTTGTAATGGTGACAAACTGACAATGGGCAAATATAGGCTACTTGAAAGTTGTCCAAGGAAATCTGCATTTTCCATGGTATATCCACAATATGTGAAGTGTTGATGGGAAGGCGGAGGTTTGTTTGAGATCTTATTTTGTTGATTATGTTTTGAGTGTTGGTATATCTGATTTTTCATATTTGGGTTTATATTCAATCTTTTGTGGTTATGTGCTTGTGTCAAAACTTAAACTAAGTCGATAAAAGACACAGGACAAACAATGATAAATATATTTTGCACAGCTTCAGTATGTCAATTACAGTGTGCTATTGACCTTCAGAAGGATGGCATTACTTGACTAATAATCGGCATCTGTTTAAGTGAATCATACATTGTTAATTCATGAAAAACGTTCCTCATTGGTACTGTGCTGATGATACAGTTCCTAGTGACAATTTATCTTGTAACCACATCTCCTCAATTGTTTTTGATAGTAGCATCCTTGTCATCATCTTGTATTCTTGTGTTCCGTGTTATGTTTTTCCATGTCTCACTGCATGTATGTTTTGTCCATGATTCTTGTGGAAAATATACAAAACTTACCCCAAGTCACGAAATTGTATTTTTCTTTTATCATATTGAGTAACTCTTCCAGGGGTATGAACTGCCTAATATTTGGTTACTCCTTGTGTTTAGAGAAGTTATGGATGTTCTAGTCCTAAGAGGTTCTTTGAGCCATGTTAGTTTTAGCGAGTCAGAATTACACCAAGCACTAGATAGAAAGCCTTTTAGTGATCCAGGGAAGTACTAGAGACTTGCTAGGGAGCTCAATTATGATTGTAACTTGTCTAGACATTTCCTGTTATGTGGGTGTACTTGGTTTTTATGTCTCCTTGCTACACTAGTCATTGGGATGCATCCTACATATTTGCTGTATCTCAAAGTTGCTTTGTGGGAGGTATCTTGTATAGTATATACAAATCAGGGACACGATGGGGTAGGATTCTTTACAGAGGAGGGACTTTGCATGATCTAAAGCTTCTTACCTTCGGGCTAAGGTGTGTGATCACTCGGAGTTGTACTAGAGTTACTATCTCTATTGGTTGTAACCACATGTCATCTGAGAGTGATAAACATTATGTAGTTTCTCATTCTATTGTGGAGCGAAAGATACTGGTTAGGAAAGATCTTTTCATTTCAGGTGTAAAGGCATCGTTTGATGCTAAAATTCAAGCTTTGTCTTTGTTCTTTCTTTGTGTGGAAGTTGTTAGATTTGTCTGAGTTGCATCTAAGTCTTTGCTTGATACATCAGTGAACCCCTTTCACACCTCTGGCAAATGCAGTTTATCTTTATACAAGAATTGTATATTGATGATCAATATAGTTTATAGCATGTAGAAGATTATGTTATAGATATCAATGTGTTGCTAAGCAAATGCCACATTTCCAATGAAAATAATAATGGGTCAATGCTATGCCTAGATTGCTAATAATTGGAAATATATCTCTTGTTAGACTATCTCTCTTAGTATAAGAAGTTGAAACCTGTCTGTTGTTGCTACTAGATAGTTCATGTCATCACCTTTTAGTAATGCCAAGTAATATTCCATGTATTTGTTTGGTGTGATATCACTTTTTAAGTTCTGCCATGATTTTATCTGTCAACTGAGCTTGGCCAACTTCGGGCTTCTTTAGCTTAGTATTGTGTTTGAACTAAAACAACTTGTATACAAAACAAGTTTTTCCTTGCCTGCAACATGTATACACAAGCACTATCTCAGCTCTATAGATTTATTAGGTTACATAAATTACTTTTTTGCCAAAGACTAAACACAGTAGGTTTGTGTATAGAAACATGGGGTCTTGCACGATCCAGAACTAGCCCTGCTCTACCATATTCTGATTGGAAGTTCCTTACATATAAGTTAATATCAGATACCTTATCTTGAGCCTATTTGCATGTACCGCTGATCTTTTTGAGATATATGAATTATGTATTATCTTCCAAACAGAAAAAACCGGACTTGAATGAAATGTTAGTCAAGTTGCCAATGTAACAGATGCATCTATGAACAAAGATCCTCAGTATCTGCACTGTGTTCATTGATGCTAAATTGAGACATAGTTAATCGATCAGGAAATATGTTTTGTGAATTTAAAACAAATATACTGAAATTTCTCCTTTCTTCCGTTGCTAAGACTGGAACTTTGTGAACCTTAAAATAATTTGAGTAAAGAGCCATACTCTAGAAACCAAGCAAGCATGAAAACTTAATAGAACTATAGTTTGTAGTTAATGGTGATAGAATGTATATATTCTCATGTTTACAACTTTGATATTTCTTGAAGTCTTGCAATAAAAATCTGTGAAAATGTTGTGGATGTAAATATGAACCATATTGTAAATAATGACTAATTGCCAAAACACGAGCTCAGTTTAGTTTCTAATTCATTGATAGATAGAGACAGCCAGCTCATCTATATTAGGTTAATTTTAGAACAGGATTAGAATAGACTTTTTGCTGTTTCTTTGGTATAATTCAACTTCATATCCTGAATGCTGGTTCATCTGATGAATCTAATTTATTGGTGAAAATCCTTTTTGTAGAATAGGGGTTGGAGCTCCCTTGATCAGATTTCAGTTCTTATAGCATTTGATAGGGTGCTTTCTTAAGAATATGATACCCATACCCTGCTGTTGACTTTATAAGTGCATATTTTATATGTTGTGGCTTGTGCAGCTATAGTATTTCTTTTTGCATTGCCTTCCATTTGAGAGGATCTACATACTCACTGCATTCTCGATTCATCTTTCAGGGAATTTATGGTTATCCTATAGAAATCCAAGCTCTTTTTTTTATGGCGTTGAGATGTTCCTTGGCAATGCTCAAACTTGATGAAGAGGGAAAAGAATTTGTGGAAAGAATAATGAAGCGCTTGCATGCCTTGAGCTTTCACATGAGAAGTTATTTCTGGATAGACTTTCAACAATTAAATGACATCTACCGCTATAAAACAGAGGAGTACTCTCATACTGCTGTAAATAAGTTTAATGTTATTCCTGATTCAATCCCAGATTGGGTTTTCGATTTTATGCCAACACGTGGTGGTTACTTTATTGGCAATGTCAGTCCAGCAAGGATGGACTTTCGGTGGTTTGCTTTAGGTAACTGTGTTGCTATCTTGTCCTCCCTTGCCACTCCCGAGCAAGCTTCAGCAATTATGGATCTTTTTGAAGCACGTTGGGAGGAGCTGGTAGGGGAAATGCCTATAAAAATTTGTTATCCAGCAATTGAAAGTCACGAATGGAGAATTGTAACCGGTTGTGATCCTAAGAACACTAGATGGAGTTACCATAATGGAGGATCTTGGCCAGGTTTGTCATATTTGTCGTTTTATTCAAAATTTTGCTGCTTTTCCTGCTACCTGATTTTAGAAGCATAATTTTTACATTTTCTACTAAGCGGTGAAGTTTTTGCTACAAGAACTAGATTTTTTTTGGTACAAGTCTTCTCTGCTAGCTAGTGAATCTATAAGTCTAGTTGTTGATGCTAAGTTGCTAGCTACTTCAAATGTTGTTGGCTTGGTTGCTTCTGAACTGGAGCCACCCAACCTTCTTGGTACATCCTTGTTATCCACCTCATCTTATGTTTATTTTTTTCTTATGCAGTAAATCAAGTTGGGCCTTACTGTGATTCTATAGAACTTACCTTTTAGCTTTTATGGAAATTTTTGATCATACACAATTTACATAGAGAGTGCCTTATCATTTCATCCACCCCTTTCACATATCTCTCCATCGTTTTGTGCTATCAATACCAAAACACTAAATTATATCCCTTGTAGCTGCTTTTGTTAGAATCTGCTTTTCTTATCTTTCACTTTCTTGTTAATAATATACTAATAAAGCAATATGATGTACCCCGAGAACAACAATAAGATTGATGTACACCAGTTGTGATTTTGATCAACAAGTTCACTCCTAACCGAATGATTTCCTTTGATCAGAGATGAATACAATGAAAGGTATCTGACTCTCAAGAGGTCAGACTCTCTTCCAAAGGCTAAAGCCTAGTTTGTGTTTACAAACCGAATACCCTCCTGATAGCCCCTCTTCTTATTTATACTAGTTGCTGACATATGCTAAACAGAAACTCCCGCCCAAACTGATAATTCTTTTCTACATGATCTAGACCCTTCTAGACTATCCCTGGACTACACGTCACGTATACAACTATTATTGGGGTATAACACAATACTTGTGTATCTCTGCTTTATTGCGACATAGTCCAAAGAATTTAGGTTCCAAGTTGTTTATTGCCAAAATGCCTACCCCATAGAATATCATCTTCGACGTACTTATTTTCCATAGACCGTAATTGTGCTGCATTGCAATTACAAAGCGCATTCCCTATACGAGAAGTTCCATAATATACTATTTACATACATTTTCAACTGTTTGTTGTACACTAGTCTTATTATCTTCTTTCCCGTACTAATAGCTGTCAGTACTACATTCTGTGTTTTACTTGTTTGTTTGGCCTATTTTTCTCACATCTATTCTCTGATGCATTTTCCGTCAAGTGTACTCTTTGCTTCGTTTCACAATCTCACCCATAGTCTAGTATGCTACGGTATTTCTTTTAATCTAGTTTTTGCAAGCTTCTCGGAAACAACCTCTCTACCCTTTGGGATAAAGGCAAGGTCTTTGCCTACATCGTACCCCAGAGACCCTACCTTTTTGTGGGATTTACTGGGATAGTTTGGCATGGTTATCATCCCCTCAACTTCTTGAAAAGGAAAATAGACATAACCTTTAGGGTTGTAAATTACTTCCCCGATCCAAAAATAAGTGTAAATGTTTTTATTTTAGTTTGTCCAAAAATAAGTGTCCACTTTCAGAAGTGTAGTTTCAATTTTATTCTTACGAGATGAGAAATTATTTACTCTCTCATCATTAAGGGGCAAATAGTCATTTAGTTAGTTAAAAAGTATAATTATTACATATTCCTAAAATTTTATGCCTTTCTTATTTCGAACAATTTTTTTTGGGACGGGGTACATTACAATATGTTCGTCTTATTCGTATCATAATTGCAGTGCTTTTATGGTTACTAACGGCGGCATGCATCAAAACGGGGAGGCCACAAATAGCAAGACGGGCAATTGAACTTGCTGAAAGCCGGTTGCTAAAAGATGGGTGGCCGGAATACTATGACGGAAAACTTGGAAGATACGTAGGTAAGCAAGCTAGGAAGCATCAAACATGGTCAATTGCAGGATATTTGGTAGCAAAAATGATGTTAGAAGATCCATCACATTTGGGGATGATCTCACTTGAAGAAGATAGACAATTGAAACCCATCATCAAAAGATCCTCCTCTTGGACTTGCTGAAAACCCGAAACATAACAGACCCGAGATTAGAAAAAGACACGAGTAATCTATTTTCTTCGTTATAAAACGGGCTTATAAGTTGGTTGAATTCTATCCCTTTTTTAGGTTCGATCGAGTGTTTCGTTTTGTGTACATTAGCTTTTGGCTGGTATGCTTAATAAGGAAAAAACACAGACAATATGGTGCTCTTATTTGTGTTTAAATTTGCAAGGATGCTATGTGATTTTTGTTTGTAGAAGCTGTGGTGGTCTTTCCAGTTGTCTAATCTGGTTTTCTAAAAATATCTGATCGTATTCTGATCTCATTCCTATTTTGTGTAACGTATTTTCAAAACCTTTTGGTTTGATTCTTGTTTTGTGTAACGGTTTTTGGTTTAAATGTTACATCTGAGATATCAAAATGAAGGTTTTTAAAGTACGTAGGAATTGGGATAAAGCATGTTGTATTTTCATGCAATTTATTCGTTTCGTTATGTATATCCAGTTTGTACTAATCAGGTCGATAAAACTGATACAAGAACTAGAAAGGTGAGGAGCGTGTTTTGGTCCAACTAGGCCGGGTTCGTCCCGAGTTTGTCTTTGTACTTTTTGTGGTTAGAGCCAAGGGTGATCATGGGTTGGATTGATCGGGTTGAAAACATTTGAAAAACCCAACCTAATATTTGCGGTTTGAAAAATCTTAATGTGAAGTAAGTCTTCGTATCTTTTTGGTGAAACTAACTACTTGAAATTCAACACATTCTTTGTTTCTTTGTTTTCTTCTTGTTCTTGCAAAATAATTGAAATAAATGAATATCCAATCTAAACCAAAGTGCAACCCAACTTAACCCAAACCAAACCGTACGGGTTGGTCAGGTTGATAATTTGGTACATTAAAATATTATTCTAACCTTGAATATGTTATTTTTCTACTCATAATTTCCTTTTCATCATCAACCATTTGATACAACTTATCCATACTACTCAATGTATATCACATTCAGTTAATTTTCTTAATTCACGTATATATGTTCATAGTTACTGAACATATATACGAATGAGTTATATAGACATGTGAATATATTGAAAATATGTGTATATGAAGAGCGTACGTGATACTGTAATTGTCTAATGTATATATTAATAGAAATTCAACAATCATATTAAATCCAATAAATAAAAGAATATCGGGTTCATCGGATTAGACATCGGGTTGCTTTAGGTTGAGTTATTTCGCGTTAAGTTTGGTTGAGTTGATCGGGTTTTTGAGCACCCCTAGTTGGAGCATCTCTAGTTTCTCTACCAGATTCTTAAACTAGAGATTTTGAATATTTCTACATACTTTTTTGCTCAAATATATTCTCGATAACTTTTTCCAAAATGACAAAAATAGGTAAAAGAATATAAAATTCTCAAAATACGAAGAATTTTCCAAAATTTACTGTGAAGAAATAGATTGCATTTTTTTTATTTACGTTAATGAAATTGAATGTAATATTATTTTATATAAAATTTATTTCAAAGGTCTTTAAATTACGTTTGGTTTGCAGATTCTGAAGGAATTTGATGAAATTAGAATATTGAATTCATTTGATCAAAATTCATTAAGGTTCATTTTTTTTATGGGAGGAATCTTTAAAATCCATCAAATTCAACAAATGAAGGATTTAAACATTCCATGACATTGATGCAGTATTTTGATAAAATGGAATCTTAATATTTCATAATATCAAATATACCTTTAACCCAATATACCCTAATCTCATAAACCACAGCACCCGACACCATCCTTTCTCCAACTTCTCAATTTCTCTTTGGCTTCTCCATTGCAACACCAACAGGCTCGATTTCTCTCTGATCTCTCGATTTTTCTCTGCTCGATCTCTCTCTCTCTCTCTCCCTCTTTCTCTTCTTGTTCGATTTTTGTTTCTATTTGCTTGATTTCGATTTTTGTTTGCTCCAACTTCTGTGTCTGTTTGCTCGATTAATTTGCTACCTTATTTGCTCCAACTTGCATTTCTATTTGCTCCAATTTCAATTATTCTAACCAAAACCCACCTCCGCCGTGTAACCAAACCAGACACCAGATTGATGAAGATTCCTCAGAAGAAGGCAATTGAAGTGAATCCATAGTTGGTCTAGGAAATCATGGTGTTCGGCTGCCACAACTTTCATCGTCTTTCATGGTCTTTGACGATGAAATTGGAGGTATTGGAATCATGATTTAGAGATCTACGAGTGTGGATGAGTTTGTTGGATTTTTTCAGTGAAGAATTCAAAGTAATAACTATGGGTCGGATGTAATTTATTGAGTATTTTTAATAATATAATTAATGTTAACACCTTCAAAATAAAAAAATATGGTAGGATTAGATGTATTTTTCTTCTGAAAAATTTTAACTTTTGTTTTTTTATTTAAATAAATAATAGAAAATGTGTTGGAATCAAGTATATTTGATTGATCCTTTCAATAGAATGACTAAATTCTTCTCCATACAAGGATGTGCATTTATGAAGAAAAGGCCAATTCCAAATAAAATTAATTTATGACTAAATTATCCTTATATATAGAGAGGTAGGTTCATACGAGAATAATATATATCTAAGAAAATGATCAAATTACATACAAAATCACATGTAGTTTATGTTAATGGCCAAAAAAGTGTGCAGATGACCCTATGGGCGCATGACAAAGTCGCATCACATGTGATTTTGTATGTGATGTTAGTATAAAATTATATGTGATTCAACTATTTTCTTATTTTCTTAAATATGTATCATTCTCGTATGAACCCGTCTCCCCCCCCTCTCTCTCTCTCTATATATATATATATATATATATAGAGAGAGAGAGAGAGAGTGTGTGTGTGTGTGTAACATACCTTATATTTAATATGTTTGGCTATTTGCATGCAAGACTTTGATCTTCATACCCTCTGTGCCCGAGCTCTGTATTCGAGCTCTTGGTTCTAGGTAACTTTATGACCAAGTCCTTTTGAACTATATCATCTTCAGACTTCGTCTTCATATTTGGCACTTAACGTCCAGAGCGTAGTTCTTCTAGAGGAGCTTTGGCCCTAGGACTTGGTATCCTAAACTAAAGAACTTAGTGTCTAGAGGTGCTTCGGTCATCCAGAGGAGCTCTGGTCCTGAATTCTTATGGACCAGACGATCTATTCTTTAGAACCAGAGGCTCTGGTTACTCTTTCAGACTTAGCCGATTTAGTATTGCAAATTCTCTGAACCTTCCATTCTTGGCCCACATTATTTTAATTAAACTTATAATAATATTTAGGACTATTTTAGTCCCAACACCTTTTTCTGGATTATATTTTTAAAAAATAATAATATAATAATAAAAAATTATTTTGTTACAAACACGTGAGCAAAAAGTTATGAAATCTTTCTACGTGTTTGATGATCAAGATGGATATTGGGTCAACCCAACCAGGTCAAACCCGACCCAAAATGAGTTCTTTTACAATAAAGTGACGAAAATTAGATCTTTTCACATCATTTTTTCTTTTACAAACTTCTTGACCAAAGCATGTGTGTAAATTCACACATCTAAAGCTAAAGTCTAACAAAATCTTGAAGAAATTGCAAAGATTTTGAAGATTTAACGGTACAAATGTTAGTATTTAGATTTTTTTTGATGTATTTGGATTCATGCAATAAAGGTCAAGCTCTAAAATGATGATTTTTGATGAATAAGGCTTGAGTTTTGCTATTTTTGTAAAGTTTGTAATATTTTGAGATAAAAATGTGAATTTGGTTCCAAATGGGAATGGTTTGGATACAAGATTGATAAGAATAGCCATTTTTTTTTGAAACATAAAAGTCAATGTTTATTTCCTATATTAGAAAATTCATATAAAATCAAAGAAAAATCCAGTGGACCCGAGGTCAGTGGCATCTGAATGATAAAAGTGTCTACTTCATTTTTTGTAGAAGTCAGGACGTAATCCTAAGTGTAAGATGGTCAAAATGTGTTAGAACTAGGGGACTGTATAGTGGAAATGAGAATAGAATTAGCTAATTAAGAATGGAATAGAATAAGACAGTGTAATTATATGCTTATGGAATTAATGTGTATACTCCAGGGAGTATAAAGGTATAATAGGAAGCTCTTGGAGTACCATATATTTGGACTACAGAGTTGAAATGAGACTTCCGGTTGGACGTTCGGTTGACCCATTTCATGCATTGTGAGTCTATATGAAATACATGTTCAAATGTACTTATATATGTATGCATTTTATGTTTGTCTTAGTTGTATTTCATGTTTTGATAAGTGTAACATGAGCGAGTCCTTCTGATTTTGATTTGATTTAAATATGAAGGTACTTTTGAAGTACAAAAATCGAGAAGATAAACTTAGTAAGACAATATGAAAGTTTTTTTTGTGGAAAATCTGAATTGTTGTCTGAAATACATCAACATTTTAAGTGTCTTCTTATTTATTTGATGACATTTAGAAGAGAATATTCCAACTTAGAGACACTGACAAAGTTTCTTGAATGTTTTGCGAGAATTATGGGATAATTATACTATGTGTCTCAAGATGTCTAAGGACATGTACTCCCTTTTCCTCAGCTCTCTTTTTGGGATATTGCTTAATCATGAGCAACCCCGTCAGCTGAAGAAGAATCTTTTTAAGGATTCTAGAGAAATGAAAATCTCTCATTTAGCTTTGATCTCTGAAAGCCCTTCAGCTGACCCTTCTATTTATTCTACTCATCACTGAGTTAGATCCTTCTAACTCCAAGGACTTGATAGACGCTGATTTTTCAGAGTTTGATGAGTTACTGGCCTCCTTACTAACTCTTTCAGGAGGTTCACCAGAAAAAACAACTTTCTCAGATCTCCTTCCCTGACCATAGCTGACAAGACAAAGTCAAATCCTATTGACAAGGCTTCAACTAACTACTATAACTGTCAACGCAAAGGACACTTTGCTAGTGAATTGCAAGTCAAAGAAAGTTCCAAAGCCATCTTCTAACCTCTCTTCTTCCTTCAGATCTAAAGATGGAAAATATATGAAACTGAAGGAGAAGTACAAGAAGATGAAGAATCTTCAGCGTAAAGACAAAGGTCTTGTCGCTGAAGAACATGACTTGGTTGATTTATCTGAAGATTCATCCTCGGACGAGGAAGACATGACCTGTCTCTGTCTCATGGCCAAAGATGTCAAGTATGAACCATCTGAGATATCATCCTCCAGTGACCCTCTCCATCAACCTCTACTCTACTCAGATATGTAATCTGAATGACCCTT